TAACCAAACCCAAAAAAAAAATATTACATGGCACTTCCCTTTATCTCCCTTTCCACTCTTCAAGCCTTCTCACTCCTTCTCCCTGTATAAAATATAAAATTAAAAAATAATAAAATATTCATCCATATCCATCACCCATAATAATACTTATCCCAAAATAATAAAATAATCATCTATATCCATCACTCGCAATAATATCTATCTCACTCTCAATCTCAATTTTAAAAAAAAAAAAAAAAAACCAAAAACCACAACAAATTTCACAATAATATCTATCTCACTCTCAATCTCAATTTAAAAAAAGAAGAAGAAGAAACCGACAACTCCTACAACTTCCACACACACATTTCTCTATTCAGTTTATTCCAGTCATCTTTTATTTTCTCATAATAACTCATCTTCTCCATTGTTACATTTTGCAAGTTTGATTATTTGCAAAAAAATCATTACAATGTCAGTATAATATTATTTTTTACTTTATATGTATTTTTTTAATGTTTGTTACTTTGTGTGTATATATATTTTTAAATATTTTTAGTTCATCTGTATATCTTTTCATTTTCTTCATTTTTATGCTCATAATATTATTTCTTACTTTATATGTATTTTTTCAGTGTTTATTACTTTTGTGTATATATATGCATTTCTTTTTTCTATTATTTTTCAGTTTATCTACATATCTTTTCATCTTCTTCATTATTACATTTCGCACGATTTGGGCTTGCTTACTTTTTAATTTGTAATTTGTTTTTGTTTTTCAATTTAATTAGATTTAAAACTCATCAAATCTTGAATTTAATTTAATTTACTTTATCTTATGTCTATCACACCCGTTAATGGCTTTGCGTAAACTCTCAAAATCAAGAAGATCAGCTCTGCATAAAGTTAATCTCACTTTTGCTCTTTCAAGCTCTCTCAAATGAGAGTTCTTCGGATCATCTACAACCAATATACACCCACTTAACAACACAAACACACACAACAACTTCAAACCTTAAACACAATTTCTCAATTTTAAAATTTTTGAAAACAAAATTATATTTGGCTTAAAGTGATTGGTACATCTAACAATATTTAATTTTAAAATTTTAAAATCTTTAAATTTTATCTAAACATATCTAATTTAAGATTTTGATTTTTTTTTTACAATCTTAGAAAAAAATGACTCAAATCTATTAGTGTATTATCTAAATTTTGAATTATTACACATGGAATAATATTACTAGATTTAACATTTAAATTTTAAAATTAATGAAAATATTTAACTCTATGATTTGTGAAATTCCAATACTTTTTTTTCTGATTTTTCCATTTTTTTTTTTTTGAAAATTTTTACAAAATTTAAGTTGCTAAGTGTTGATTTTTTATTGGCTATCTATGATTTTATCCAAAATTATTGGTTAATGATTGACCACTATTAAATTCTTTTTGGCTATAATGATAACAATTGACTACCATCAATTTTAAAATTTTCTATCAATGTATTTTTAAAAAAAAATTGTCATCAAGCATGCATTTTAAAAATTAAATATATTTTATTCTATTACAACTTTATTAAAAAAGTAACTTTATTTTGCTACTATTCAAGAAAATATATATGCCTTTATTTCGATATAACAAAAATTAAATTATCTTCTACTCATACATAATCTCCCATAAATATCTTATCTTTTTAAAAATTTTAATTATCAACAACTGAATTCTCACACTTCTCTTTTTTTTTTATTTTATTTTATTTTATTTTATTTTATTTTAAGGATGTTTATTTTACTTTTATCTTTTTTCAAATTAGATTTGATATCTATCTTTTTACCTATATATTTATATCTATCTATCTATCTATCTATTTATACTATCTATAAAAGCAAATGTAGTGGAAGCTCACAGACTATCAATTATTTAATCCTAATTTCTCATAATTTTGAGAGATTAAAAAAATGAGGTGGCACTGCTTCCTCTCTCAGCCTATTTTTTCTAGCCAAAATAGAGGAGAGACAAAAATCCACATGAAATATATAAGAAAAAATATATATTTATCACTTTAGATAAATTAAAAATTTTAAAACTCTCTTATCACCTCTTTCCTTTATCTCAATTAAAGTAACCTCCTTTCACATGACTTCCTCTCTCACATGTCTCTCTTCCCTCTTTATATATAATTACATTTTTGTTTCAATTTCACACTGCTTCTTATAAAAAAATAAAAATATGACTATATCTCTCTCCTAAAAAACTTGCCCTTATTTGTCACCATCACCTCCATGGTCATTTCATAAGAAAGTTAGATTGGTACTGCCTATATGGCCATTTCGTAAGAAAGTTAGAGATTGGTATATATGTATGATATAAAAGAGGTTGCCATTGCTTTATTTTTATTTATTTTTTAAGCCCCTTTCCAAGTTTTTGAGTTATATGTTTCACTTATTATATAGACAAAACAATTCCTTTACATAGAATTTTTGTGTTTGTATTCCATATCAATAAAGCAATCTGTCAATTTTTTTTTTTGTATATGTTTTTCTTTTTCTTATATTTGAGAAAATTTAGTATTTTACAAGTTACAATAGTGCTGAAGTTCAAACAATACTCCTAAGTCATAAGGAGAACAAACAACAATAAATGAGAAGGATAATCGATAATTATTGGAACGATCAAATAGATGGCTTTTATAGAGGAATTAGAAAATTTTACCATGAGGAAGAAATTTTAGTTTGGAAGCACATATGGCCGGCGAGTCTTAAAACAATGTCAATAAGAAACTTATTAAAGACTATTATGTAAATAGGACACTTTTGTTTTTATTGCCCTTTTCTTTCTTTCAATTTTGTTTTTGTTTTTGTATAAATCTTGAATCATAAAAATTGTGTATATGAGATGGAGAGTTTTTCTATTTGAGTGTTCACTGTTGTTAATTGTATTTCAATTTTTTTTGGCACAATTTTTTCTTAGTCCAATAGATATGAACACACCATTGTTTTTTCTTTCTTGCTAAAGTTTTAGCTTGAGGTCATGTGTGACAAATGGTTAAAACATTAATCTTAGATAATAATAAACCTTGTGAAATCAACTTTACAGGTTAAATTGACTTCCCTTGAGAAGTTATCTGTCAACGCAAAATGGATAACTTGATAGAGACATGGCCTAGCGAACTTCAAGAACTATGAGAGATGAGAATTCAATATCTTGCACCCTTATTTTTACGCTTTTACAGATTCTTAACATGAAATTTTGTTTGTTTTTAATGGAACAAGTGATATTTGAGAAATTTTTGTCCTAATTTTTTTGTGGAAACTGATGCGTCCTACTGGATTGAAAGTTGGTGGTTCTCCATAAAAACAATATCGGTTACTGTGTAATACATTGGCATGAAATTTTGTTTGTTCTTCTTGAATAGCTATGAGATGTATTGAGCTGTGTCACAACCAGAATTTACTTGGCACCATATTTATGTATGTTCTCTTGAAACAAATACATTTGTTTTTTTTTTTTTTTTTATTTGAATTTTTATTTTTTTACAAGAGCTTCAAGCATTAAATAGAAATTTTCAATTTTAAAATTTTTAAAAATAAAAAATATATTTGGCATAAAGTGATAAAAAAATTACAAACCCACAAATATTTATAACCATATATATAAATTAAAAATATATATAAACCCATAACAAATATAGATAGATCGATTTATGGCATTCGGTTTATTAGTAATTCTTTTTAGCATATATATGTTTTAGACATTAGGGTTATTGAGAAACATCTTATTTATTGTTAATATTATTTCATTAGTTAGAAATCAAGTTTATTATTTCAAGAAAAATAGATCAGTTGAATTATAATAACATTTTGTGCATATCTACTTTTTAAATTATTGTCTTTATTTATGAAATTTGAGAAGATGAACTTTATTCATTATGATTATAATTTTATGACAAAATTTAGAACTTGATGCATTATTAAAAAATTTATATACTACAAATCAGTCTCGTGCATAGCACGGGTTTACCACTAGTATATACTTATTAGTAAATCCCAAACAAATTCATTTTTCCTCCTCAAGAACATTAAATCAATACTTTAAAAACAAATTTTATTTATAAACAAAATAAATTTGTTTACTCAAAAAGTTTCATACAAAGTTATAGATCAAGAATTACAACAATCTCGTGTCAAAACCATTATTCAAAAAATCCAAACTTTATTTGAAAATGATTTATTCATCACTTGGCTTTCCTTTAGAGGTGAAAAAATTAAAATTAAAACATTAATAATAGCATAGTAAATTAAATAATATCTTTAAACAATTAGAATAATACTTCACTATTTTAAAATATAAATAATTAATTTGACAGTTAAATACATTTAAAATTAAAATTTAAATACAAAACTGAAATACCATATTATTCAATAGTGCTTTGAAAAGTTGGTAAAAAAGTTAATTTTTTTTGTTCTGTGTGTTTTTTTTTGACTTTTTTTTGTTATAAAAGCTAAAAAATCAAAAAATAATTTTTTTAGCTTCTTCCAAATTGCCCCTCAATAGTACCAGCATTAAATACATTTTTAGGAGGGTGAGGTTAAAATAATCAATTAAAAAGATAAAATAGGCTAAAATAGATAATAAGATAAAATGTAACATCTAATTTATAATTATTTCATTTTTTTCTCTCACAACCATTAGATTAATTACAAAATTTTTTTAAAACTAATTTCTCAAATATAATTTTTTTTAACCAGAATAAAATAATAAAAAAAATCAAATACGTAACTAAAATAATCAAAAATATATATATTTGCAACCTTAAATAATGTAATGGGCCAGAGGTCATGGGCCTTGCACATTGACCTAGACCCAACTAATTTTATACTACAAACTAGGCTGGTCAGGTCGGGTGGAATGGACGGTGGATTTTAGACCTTTTAACGATGTAACTGACGCTCCTACATAGACCAACGGAGATTTAGATCAAGATGCGATGTTAACCACTAGATCGTCACTCAACAAAGAACGTACTACGAAATAAGCATACGAAACACCACACACAATCATCACCGTACTATATTTGCAACTCCACCTCTCAAAACCCTAATCTTCAGAAAATTTCCGTCTCTCTACTCTTTCGCGATCTCAAGTCTCTCAGAGGTAACGTCTCATCTCTCACTGTCAACCCTAACATCCATGTAGATCTGATCAATGTTTGTTGTTCTCGTGCTTGTCATTGTGGTTTTTTTTTTCTTCTGTCTTTTATGCTAATCTTTCGACAACCGTGATAGCTGTTTCTAGATTAGGGCTTTTATATTTCAAGATATTTATTTATTTATTTATTTTTAAATCAGTCTGTATTACCGTTGCTTTTGTTAATTAGATATCACCAGTTTTCTGTTCTCTATTTGTTTTTTTTTTTGTAATTCGGGTGTGTTTTGATTTCGTTCTGACTTTCGTCGTTTTGAGATTGGGTTTCAGGAACATGAGTCGCTCAAGTCGAACACTTTATGTTGGCAATCTTCCTGGTGACATTCGCGAGCGGGAAGTGGAAGATTTGTTTTACAAAGTATTAATTTTTCTTTATTATTTAAAATGACAATGAATTAATAACCACATTATATAAATGCAATATTATTTCATGCTAATCAAATTTATTATCTCAAATTATTTCGGTAATGGTACTTTTATGAGTTAATTTAAATATAAAATTGACAGATAAGGGTGCTAAATGAGTTAGTTTAATTTTAAATATTTTCTTAATGTAAATTGTCGATGTCGTGTGTTTAACTGGTGTTCATGTTGCAGTATGGACCAATAGCTCATATTGATTTGAAAATCCCCCCAAGACCTCCTGGTTATGCATTTGTTGAGGTGATTTTGAAGCTGCTTTGAGTGCACTCTATTTGTTATAATACATGTGATGTATTGACAAATTTTGCTTACAGTTTGAAGAGGCTCGTGATGCGGAAGATGCTATTCGTGGTCGTGATGGCTATGATTTTGATGGGCACCGGCTGCGGGTTAGTCACACATATGATGCATTTTTTATGTAGCAAACATTTACTTGTTGGTAATTAAGAGACGTATTCTCTTGATGTTTATAAAGGTGGAACTTGCACATGGCGGGCGTGGACATCCATCATCAACAGATCGGTATAGTAGTTATAGCAGTGGTCGCGGTGGACGTGGTGGTGGTGGCCGCGGGGGAGGAGTGTCTAGGCACTCTGATTATCGTGGTGTGTATTTCCTTTGAAATATGCATGTTGTGTGATTTTATTTGGTTTCATTTGATTGATCAGCAAATTGATTTTTTTGATTCTTTTTATCTACCGTCAAATTGATTCACATTTATCTTTATTATCCAGTGTTAGTCACTGGATTGCCTAGCTCTGCTTCATGGCAAGATCTTAAGGTGAGCAGGAGCTTTTTTAAGAGTGGTCTTATATGTGCATATATACACAAAACCACACATTCTTTCATTGCCATTTTTCAAAGTCTAGATGTGTTGTTTAATGAATTTTGATATCATGCATTGTCTTGCAGGATCACATGCGTCGAGCAGGGGATGTCTGTTTCTCCCAAGTTTTTCGTGATGCAAGTGGTATGATGAGAAAATTTAATTATAGAATTATTTGTTTATTCATATGTTAGTAAGAGGACTTGTGTTTGAGCAATGATATTCACCTGTTGGAGTCTTTGTTGGATAAAAAATTATATTTGGCTTAGTGATTATTTTGTAAGAATAATTCATTTGGATTTTGTTGGTTAAAGACCATCCTTGAGTCTTGTGTGATTCACTTGTTGGAGTATTTATTGGATGAAAATTTATAGGAGTCTTGCTTTGTAAAAATAATTTATTTGAAGTAGGTGGCTGATTGAGGCAATGGTGCTAAGTGAGGCTATGAGATGGCTAATTGGAGTGGTTGGTGTGTTTGATTGGGCATGGTGGTGGGTAGTTGGTGATGTGTTGGAAGGGTTTTGTATTTGCTCGCTCCCCTCGCTCTCTCTGTGTACATAGAGATAGTGGTGATAGGGGATAAGAGGAAGGCAAGAGACCATGGCTTCCATAATACCCTCACAGGAGGGTTTTCTTTGTCTTGTCATTCTTCACGTCAAGGGTTTCAATGTAAGAATAAAGTTCGACATATTTTAATCTAGGGAAAAATAGGTATTTCAGTGTTGAAAAAAAGATGACCATCTTTTTTTTCATTTGGTTGACTGATGAGCCACTATTGGTTTCATTACAAGTGTTATACTAATTTAAACTTCATGGGAGCATGATATAATTATGTCATAACTGTAGGGCTAGTTGTATTTTTACCAAAACTCCGGGGAGTTTAGTGTAATTTACCCATTATTTTGTTATTCTGGTATTCCATTTCTTCCACTAATATGCAAAAGCTACACATAAGTTTGGCTGATTGATTCTATGTACAACAGTCCATCTTATGAGTTGTGTTTTGGACTTCTAACTAACTGTCTGAATCACTGGGTTTTTGTGTTACTCTGACAATTTTGTTTGCAAACTGTGGCATTTGAGACTCAAAAAAATTTGAGAGTTGGCTATTTGTCATCTTTTATCTTTGTGAATAGAGTCTTATCATTTGTATTATGGTTGTCTTGCAGGCACAACGGGAATTGTAGATTACACAAACAATGATGACATGAAATATGCAGTAACTTTTCATTTGTTTGTTGATTATTTTTTGAAATTAGTGGTTTACTGACAAATTTTTTGGGTTAACAATTATTTAAAACACCAATCATTTGCTTGATATGTCTAAGCAGATTTTGTTTTCATGTCTGCAGATTAGGAAACTCGATGACTCTGAGTTTCGGAACGCTTTTACTCGAGCAATAGTTCGTGTATAATTTTAACTTTTATTTGATATTTTAATGCCAATATGTAGAATGTTACATTGTTATTCACATCATACATATATTCTGTCTGGATTTCATTACTTATAGGTAAGAGAATATAAATCAAGCCGGAGCCGGAGCCGGAGTCGTAGTCGTTCATATTCGAGAGGCAGGAGTTACAGTCGCAGTCGGAGTTTGAGTCCGAGCAGGAGCAGGAGGTTGGGTCATGACATGGTGAATTATTTATTTTGTTGTGTACTGTGGTGTTCTTGATTTCTAATTTTGTGGAATTTTCATTCAGCAAGTCTCCGAAACCCAAATCTTCACGTCGCTCACCTGCTGGATCTCGTTCAAGATCTGCTTCTTCTCGTTCGCGTTCTGGTTCAAAGCCGCGCTCTCAGTCAAGGTATACCTTTTAATGTTATAGTTTTGGTTTGCTCACAGAGGTCTTTATTATTAATCTAAGGTTTCATATTCCTTTGCTAGGATGCTTACTAGTAAACTATTGTCATCTGCTATCCTAGTCATGTTCATTTTGTCCTTTCTTGTCTTCTGTAAATGCGTGCATCTCATTTTGTTTTGCATAGTGTCTGAAGGTTTGTCCACCGTGTAAAGTTATCGATTTTTAAATTGGTGGAAAGATAAGGAGGGGAGGGAAAAAAGGAGCCAATACTGAGAACAATAGGATGAATTATGCATGTTGAAATAGTAAATGATCCAATTGGTAATGTGAAATTCCTGTGCAAATGCTATGGAACAATTTTACTTGTGGTGTAAATTGTCTAATAGAGTGTGGCCATATGTCGCGTGTAAAATATTTTAAGGTAGTCCATTTGACATTGTTTGGTGTGTTCGACAAGCATGTAAACATCGTGATGCTAACTATTACGGGAAAAGTATGTTTCTGGTCCTGGTCCTGGTCCTTGTCCTTGATGACAACAACTTTTAAGCTGGCTTAAAAGCCATTGCCAAAACAAGGGTAAATTGCAATTGCAATCATCTGTGTGTTCTGTTTAATGCATTCAACAACTATTATTTGTATCATTGCAGTATCATATTGTTATATCACAGGATCCACTGGAAACACTGTTCTATAAATATTTTCGTTGTATTATTTTGTAGAAAAACTTAAGATGAGTTTATTTATAACCTGATGAGTTGTGTGTCCTGTCAGACACTTCCCCACCATGTGTATTATATACACTCTGAGAAGTATATGAATGGTGGGAGGGTCTTTATCTACCTTTACCTTGTACTTGCTTTTTGGTTTGCTTACTTAAATTATTTTGTGCATCCATCTTTTTGGCTTGAACTGGATTCGATCTTTAAACTACTTGTATTTAATCTTCTTGAAGTTGGTGTTAAATTTTGCATGCCCTGGATCATATTTTAAAGCAGTGGCTTTGGTTAGTGACTTTTCATATCAATGTTGCCATTTCTTCAAATAGGTTTTCATTCTGATAAATTTATGTGGATTGTACCAAAATGTCACATATATATCTATCATATTTTCTGGTTAGGTTATTGTGCACTTTTTGAAATTATGGTGGTATTTTTAACTTACCAGCTACTGTCTCACCTCTCATCTTGATTTTTTAAATTATTTTCTTATCATGGCTACATATTTTCTATAAATATTTTGTGGTGTCATGAGTTAAGAAATCTGCGTACTTAACAAAGAATAATGGATGGATCTGTTATTCTGCATGCATACTTTTTGCTTCAGCTAAATGAGTTGTTCTGGGTTCAATTAAATGGGGAAGTGGCAAGTTGCACCCTCGCACTTTACAACACATTGGTTTCAGCAAATTTCAAACTGGAAATGATAATAATACCTTACCTTGCTTGTTTTGTCCTTTTTTGCCATCTTTGCTTCATTTCATGGTTTTTTAGCAGACGTGGTATTGAGAAAACATGCCATTGTCAAACTATCATCAATTCCATTTTTCCTTTCATATATATGAAATTATCTTGTTTGTTTTTTTAGATAGGGATATATGCAGCGATCTGGGGATTGCATGTTAGGATCTTGGTGGTATATGGTTCAAATGCCTGCAACTCTTTTGGTTGTGGAGGTATGGTGTTTTCTAGATGGGCAGCTTTAGAAACCTTCGTGGTTTGTCTGTTCTAATACATTAAGCATCGCAAATGTCCATCGGTGCTAGATTGGGAACAAAGAAGATCATGGATTGCGATGGTAAAGCTGGACTGTGGGCCAAGTGCTAATGGAATTTGGGAAACACCATCAGTCTGCGGTAGAAACAATTTTACTGCATTGCTTTTTCGACATAGCCAAGCTAATAGGGCTCGGTATCTGGATTCTTTGTTGGTCATTTGGGCATCCTGTTTACTGGTTTCTTAAACAACCATTGCATTGATTTCATTAAGGTTTGCATTGTAACTTTATTAGGGCTTATATTTATTGGGATGTATGGTCTTTACATTTCTCTTTTGGGTGCTAAATTTTTGTGGACAGTTTCTTTTTTATGCATTTTGATTGTGGTAACTATGACGTGGAAGAGGCATCAAGGCTCTTGGATCACAGTTGTTAAAAGGAACTTGTGGATATTAAAATGGGTTATTTGTGGAACTTTTGCAGATCTCCATCAAGATCCAAATCTCCTGTACCATCTGTAAGTGCAATCTCAGATTGTTTTATGCAATATTTTTATATCTAAAATGGATTGCTGGCAAACTATTTCTGGTGAATGCCCCCATTTTTGTCCATGAACATGAAGTTTTGGGGCAGTTGAATTGGGTGTTGAACCCTCAACTGTCTCAGCGATAAGATTATATATCTTAAATAAGGTTTTCTTGTTGAGCTCCTGTCCTTTGATGGGTAAATACTAAATAGACTATTTTCAGTTTCGACATTGATTGACATTGTGTGCTTTGAATTGCATTTTATTTCAAATTTATTTTTTTCCAGCGCCAGAAACGCAAGAGTAGAAGTCCAAAAAAGCAGAGTTCTAGATCTCCTTCAAGATCCAGATCTCCTGTACCATCTGTAAGTGAATCTCACATTGTTCTATGTAATATTTTGAAATCTGTAATGGACTGCTGGCAAACTGATACTGGTCATGGCATCCATCACAAAATTTTTGGGCAGTTAGAATTGGGTTGAACCTTCAATTGTTTCTTCAATAAGATTGAATATCTTCAATAGGGTGTTCCTCTATGAAGCATGGGTACAGGTACGGGTACAGGTACGGGTACATGTACGGATATGGGTACTGATTTAGTACAGGTACATCGATACGGTAAAATCTAAAAAAAAAAAGAATACGGTTATGACTTTGTATGGTTGTAAAAAAAATATTTATTTTTAATTTGGAGTAATGCAAAAATTGATTAAATAGTTTAATTTGTTAAGATCCAACTTACAATTAATATTTAATGCCAAAAGAAAAGGTATAAACCAAAATTAAATGTCATTATATTAAATAATTTACAAATCATAGCTTAATTTTAAAATCATGCTAACTATAAAACTAAAAATAAAAAGAAGTCTAGTGAAAGCAATTTTATTTCTGTAGTAAAAGAAAATATTGTTTCGATTGAGATACGGTACAGCTTGGGTATATACTAGATACGTTTAGGTATGCCAAAAATTAAGAAGAAAAAATTTGAATACGTATTTCGTGTATCTGGTACTTATGTAGAAGTGCCATACGCTGGTAAGTATCCGGTAATACTGTACGGCATGTTTGTCGAAGTACCCATGCTTCATAGGTGTTCCTATTAAGCATATTTTCTTCCATTGGTAGATTAACTACTTTCAGCTTCAAAATTGATTTATACAAGCCTGCCATTTTCTGCTTTGTTATGGCCTTTTATTTTGAATTTCATTTTCTTCAGCGCCTGAAACACAAGAGTAAAAGCCCGAAAAAGCTGAGTCCTAGATCTCCATCAAGATCCAGATCTCCTGTACCATCTGTAAGTGAAATCTCGCATTGTTTTATGCAATATTCTGATATATGGAATGGATTGCTGGCAAACTGATTCTGGTGACTGCCCCCATTCTTGGCTATGAGCATGAAGTTTTGGGGCAGTTGAATTGGGTTGAACCTTCAATTGTCTCATCAATAAGATTGAATATTTTAAATAGAGTTTTACTTGTGCTCCCTTCCATGGGTAAATATTAAATAGACAATTTACAGTTGCAAAATGGATTTGTATTTGCCTGCCAATGCGTGTTTTGTATTGCTTTTTATTTTGAATTTAAATTTTTTCAGCGCCCTAAACGCAAGAGTAAAAGCCCGGAAAAGAACAGTCCTAGCCGGAGCAGGAGCAGGAGCAGGAGCAAGAGTGTATCCAGGTTCTGTTGTTTTGCAGCATATTTCTATTCCTCCCTCTTGGGCATTTTATTCCTTAGGCCTCGTTTGGGAACACCTTCCCTTTTAGCCAAAAAGCCAAAAAGTTACTAAATTAGCCAAAAAGCCAATAACTCATACTAAAAGGTCAAAGATTTCATTTTCTCTCTACTTTTTGCACATCTTTTCGTAAAAAATTAAAAAGTCATTCCAAATATACTAGTTTTTTTTAGCTCATATTTTAGCCAAATAGCTAAAAAGTTACTAAATTAGCCTGTTTCCAAACGAGGCCTTAGTACCCAAATTTGTGTTATCATCCATTTTTGTGCTTTGTTAGTCTCAAATGTGTCAAGTTTCTGATTGCAAATGTGTTTTTACAGGTGAGATTTGATTGTGGTTGAATCTGTTAACTCCAGATGCTGTGAACAAGGGGATGTTACTTTCCAAGATAATTTACTTGTGTTGGGTTAACAGTGTCTACTACAATCAATTACATTAGATTGGATTTGTCTGGACATGGATAGTGAACTCATGTTTTATCATTTTGAACTATTGTCTAAAATGCTTGTTGAAGTAGAACCCAGTATCTACAAAATTATTGCTGCATTACTTGTGATCTTTGCAACATATTGCAAAACGCTTTGGTATTTTTTTTTTTGTGATATTATTGGTGTTGATTGCTTAGAAGTTCTTTGAGCAAACTTTGCTTTGCTACTCGTTCTGTTTTTATTTGTTTAGTTTTATTCTTGATTTTCCCCAGTTTAGACCTATATATCATATCTGTTCCTTGGAACGGTTTTTCTACCGGCGCTGGTGCAATCATCTTTTTGGGTGCCTTGACCTAGGTGGCTTTGTCAATACCAACTGGGCCATGTATATAATGACATAGTTTGGGCCATTTAAGGTGCATCTTGCAAATAGTAAATGTTTTTTTAATAAGTAGCTTGGGACTGTTTTTTGACTTGTGTAAATTTCTCGGGATGCCTTGTATTGTGTAGATCTCTCTCACACACATACAAGCTCACATTCTGGATGGAGCTGCCTCTGGAGTAGGCTTTTGTGAAATGCTATCAAAAACTAGCTGCAAGGCGGGCCAATCACTGGTTTTGGATGGTATCAAGCAAAACTTTTAGATATACATAACTAAACAAAAGAAAAATACATAGAATACTTGAAACGGCATTTACATTCATGCGAATATTCTAGATATTCTTTTTTTATTTTATTTTAAATAATTGGTTTGTGTGTGTCTTCTTTAATTGACTAAGTTCTACATATAAAATTTGTATATGTAGGATCTTAGTCTCTGGTGCTTTTAATATATTTAATTGTGTTGTTTGTATCAAAAATGATTCCACGTGACGCGATGTTGTGATCATAATGATATCACCAATTGCAGGCTAGTGAAATGTATCGTTAGGACAAAATATGGAAAAATTATACAATAATCTTAGTATTATGTAGTTATATTTTCTTATCAATTATTATTTATTATGTTTTTCATGTTTTTTAATTATTTAACACAAATAATTAAGACTTTATATTTTTTACTAATTATACTATCAAAATATGATATAATTTTGTTTTGATTCCACTAAATTAAACAAACAATTTCATTAGAATAGGTTGATGAGGTAGGAGGTTACATTACATATATGGTACAAGCAAAGCGATAGAATAACAAATGCTCACCTCAGTTATTTTCACAACCACAAGAATTGACTTGAGGTGGCTTCATAAGTTTGTCTAAGAGCGTAAAAACAATATCAAAAGGACGTAATCAAGATGTCGTGGACTTTATTAGGGATGGCAATAGGAGGCAACGGGGTGGATATTCATTCTCCATTCTTATTCTCTTATAATAAATTTTTCCTATTCTCTATGGGTACCATCCTTTCCATTTTTTAATGGGTATGGATTTTCCCCAACTCACTTTAATCCCCATTTTATTTTTTATATTTAATGTTTAACAATCATTTTTTATTTTTTTTATTTTTTTTTATTTTAAGGTTCACAACAAAAACTAAATATACTTTCAATCTTTTTTCTTTCTTTTTTAATATATTTAATGTTAACAATTTTTTTTTTTTTATTATTATTTTTTTAAGGTTCACAACAAAAGTTAAATATACCTTCAATCTTTTTTTTCTTTTTTTTTTATTATATTTAATGTTAACAATTTATTTTTATTATTATTATTTTTTTAAGGTTCACAACAAAAGTTAAATATACCTTCAATCTTTTTTTTCTTTTTTTTTTATTATATTTAATGTTAACAATTTATTTTTATTATTATTATTTTTTTAAGGTTCACAACAAAAGTTAAATATACCTTCAATCTTTTTTTTCTTTTTTTTTTATTATATTTAATGTTAACAATTTATTTTTATTATTATTATTTTTTTAAGGTTCACAACAAAAGTTAAATATACCTTCAATCTTTTTTTTCTTTTTTTTTTATTATATTTAATGTTAACAATTTATTTTTATTATTATTATTTTTTTAAGGTTCACAACAAAAGTTAAATATACCTTCAATCTTTTTTTTCTTTTTTTTTTATTATATTTAATGTTAACAATTTATTTTTATTATTATTATTTTTTTAAGGTTCACAACAAAAGTTAAATATACCTTCAATCTTTTTTTTCTTTTTTTTTTATTATATTTAATGTTAACAATTTATTTTTATTATTATTATTTTTTTAAGGTTCACAACAAAAGTTAAATATACCTTCAATCTTTTTTTTCTTTTTTTTTTATTATATTTAATGTTAACAATTTATTTTTATTATTATTATTTTTTTAAGGTTCACAACAAAAGTTAAATATACCTTCAATCTTTTTTTTCTTTTTTTTTTATTATATTTAATGTTAACAATTTATTTTTATTATTATTATTTTTTTAAGGTTCACAACAAAAGTTAAATATACCTTCAATCTTTTTTCTTTCTTTTTTAATATATTTAATGTTAACAACTTATTTATTTATTTATTTTTTATTTTTTTAAGGTTCACAACAAAAGCTAAATATACATTCAATCTTATTTTATTTTATTTGGTTCAACAACAAAATCAAATACACATTAATTAATTAATTAAAAAGTTTGTTTTATAATAATCAAATATATAATTTTGAGACAATCAAATAAGTTTTAGTAATTGAAAA